TTTATAGGTCAAACCTGGAGAAATGGCACCATCTGGTAAAAAATTAAATTTTAAAGCCTTGCCAATATAATGAAAGCCTATCAACAAAAATTGCATAATTTTACAGTTAAATGGCACTGCGATTAAAAATAGCAGTTTTAATGGGTTTCAATGGGGACATTTTTGTCCTTAAGGTCCTGAGAGGAACAATTTGTTGTACCTAGTGCAAAACAGATTTATTAAAGGAAATGGAAGTGAAATAGTAAAATTCCAATAAAAATACACACCTGTGCCAAAATTTATGCAGTTGGCAATAACACAGGCAAAATGATCAAAAAAACTAAACTGAAAAGGACAAAAATGTCCAAAAGGTCGCACAAGGGTTAAACATGAGGTCAAAACAAAAAAAATTAAACGCATGCATGGATGAATTGTCCATAATAAGATCTATAACATGAATTAGAAAATCTCTATCTGTCGTTTTCACTGGAAGATCCAGTTATGACATTCTGATTAAGAATTATGAGGTCCAAAAAAAAAAAAAATGTACAATCAGATCTATAATATGCATTTGATTAATATGCAAAATAAATACGGTGAGCTTTTATTTCATGCTGACTTTAAGAAGAAAAGAACAGACAGACTCTCTGACCTCTGAGAATGTTTACATGAGCTTGTGAACTAGAAGAAGTTGGGGGCTGCCAGCCGACACATGGATGATACTTCACTGCCGATTGGTTTGGCAGGCTAAATGCAATCTCTGAAATCAGTAACTGGAAATTTAAGTTTACATGAAATTTTTAAGAAGTGAAACCGAGCAGTCCAAAAACCTGGAAGACCTAACTAAAGTCATTAGCGAGAATATGGTTTGCAGCAGAGAAATGTTTATGTATTTTTTTTTATTTTTATGCATTGGTCAATCAAATTAGCTTCTGAGACAGATTATTCCCAGATTAGACCCCAATGTCCCACGTCCTTGACTGAAAATCCTCTTTCGCAGATGACTGCGGTTATTTGTATCTGAGAAACCAGCCCTGCGTATATAAGCAGATTAAACATTTCATGTCACAGTGACAGCTACAGGAAAATCCCGCTAATTTAGTTGTTTAAAAGCACAGATGGTAAGAATTTGCAAAGCCAACTCGAATGAAACCAAACTTGACATTTTTTTGACAAGGCGAGCAGGGATTGGTCAGTCATCATTTTAATACCCGCCCTCTGCATCCCACAGCCAATCACAGTTCAGTCTGAGCAACAGGCCAATATAAGAGAACCACATTTTTGTTGTGTTCAGGCATGCACGTGTGTTTGGTGATAGTAAAGAGTTGACCTTTGACCTGGTTTACAGTCTCTCTCTGTACTTAAAACATTTCACTCAGCTTCAGAAAATAGCATCTGTTTACACACTTGGTTTATTTTGTAATCTAATGCAATAGCACTTTAAGTGTCTTAAATGCCTAAATGCATGTGTATTTTTGCTGAATCTGATTGTCATCCTTACTGTCTTCCTCACGTTGCCTGTTTCTTTTACCCTGTGTGAGGTCATTACTAATTCATTCCTTCCTTTGTGATGTCTCCAACAAGAGCTGAAAGCTGTCTGAATGTAGGACAGAACAGAGTCTTAAAGGGGTCATATGATGCTGCTAAAAAGAACATTATTTTGTGTATTTGGTGTAATGAAATGTGTTTATGCGGTTTAAAGTAAAAAAAAACACATTATTTTCCACATACTGTACATTATTGTTTCTCCTCTATGCCCCGCCTTTTTGAAACGCGTCGATTTTTACAAAACAGAGGGCGATGCTGCTTGTTTCTTTTATTAAAACATTTCATGTTATTTAAGGGTTATATCATACGTTTTCACATTTTATTTATTTTCTTTGAAATCCACTTATAATGTTAGTGAAGTTTTTTTGTGCCAAAACAATCATAATTGAGTTTTAGTTTCTATAAATGCTGGTTTTGGAAAATTAAAGTTCTTAATGCTAGTCTGTTTTTATAGTGCAATTGGGTCTTTTACACCTATGAAAATTTAATTTGTCATAATTATGAGTCCTTTTATGAGTTGCTGCCATTGTTTATGTGTACTTAAAATGTAAGCATGCAGCTTAAATGTTCAGTAAAATCCAGATGTTGGTCTTGTGTTTTCATCTGTCACATTTAAGGATTGTAGCACCTTCTTTCTGGTAGCTGTCAGTCACTGGTTAATATCCGGTCAGACTCCTCCCTCTGCCCACATCACCATGACGATTCCCAAAATTTAACAATCCGCAGCACTGTGCAGTCTCAATGTTTGTTTTATGAGGTCAGAACTGAGGAAGCTGGAAAAAGTGTGTGCTTGTGCTTAATGACTCTCATAGTCCTTTCTTTCTTTCCCTAGTGCACCTCATTCCAACCAATCCGGTGGCAGAGCAAAGGTCACTTGGTAAAAGCAGAAAGCGTGTGAATCCGGTCCGTCTGTCTGTCTATGTCTGTCTTTCTACAGTATCTATCTATCTGTCTGTATGTCTGTCTGTCTGTCTTTCTACAGTATCTATCTATCTATCTGTCTGTCTGTCATATCTAATATATAATAAAATGACTGAAAAAGCACAATGCATTATTTTAAAATGCAGCTTGTTTTTTCAAGGAATCAAAACTGATTTGACTCATCCCTCACTGCAGAGGATTGCATTTTTTTTCTTTGAGCTTACAGCTGATAACCACCAGTGATTGGTGTGTAAATGTAGGATTATGTTTGCGTGTTTAGTGTGTGTGTGTGTTTATCAGGGTTTGATGTTTGTCATAGGGCATGCAGTTTATGAATCATTATCAGATTAATATTTTATTCCCGTCGTCGTCTTTTATCCGTTCCTGAGCCGTGTCTCCGTGGTTACGGCAGCATTGAACAGTCACTGTAACACTACTGAAAATAACACTGTTGTGTTTCCATGGTTTCATTGTAGAGTTCTTACCAATGGCATGACAAATGCTTTTGTCCAGAGTATTCCAAGAATTATTAATCACGCACAGCATATCATAATATTCCCATGATGGCTGAGATTTATGTATTACAAAGTAATCCTCAACCACAAATCCTTCTGTCTCTTTCCCTTTAACATGCTCTGGTTCTTCACTTACACTCAAATATGCTTACCTTACTATCTAAATGCAGACGTACCCTTAGAGGTCAGATGATTCAGATTAACTCTGTGACCTGACCCAACCGGACCATTATGATCTGATGGGCTCTGACTCAAAAATGAAGATGCATTATAATAAAATACAGTGATCTGACATCCCTTGTTCTCAGAAATCTCTTGTGGTACCCTTAGAGGTCAGATGATTCAGATTAACTCTGTGACCTGACCCAACCAGACCGTTATGATCTGATGGGCTCTGACTCAAAAATGAAGATGCATTATAATAAAATACAGTGATCTGACATCCCTTGTTCTCAGAAATCTCTTGTGTGTTTAAAACTGCCTGCAAAGGGAAATAATACCCAGTTTGTTCGATATAGTTGTTACTTTCCAGTTTTGATCCTTAGTTGCATTAGACCTGCATTAATTCCATGCAGTAATTATTTAAATGATGCATGTTTCATGTAATTGTAGTTCTGTTGTGTATCAATTCAGTGTAGTAAATACTGTATCAGTGCTCTTGCATTGTTTTTGGCACATGCTGTTGTCATCTTCTAACGATGAGCATTCGTTTTCAGGAACAAAGCAGGTAGCAGACCTCTGCCCTTGACTTTTATTGTTTAAAAAAAAAAAAAAGTTAAATATTTTACTACAGACTAACCCAAAATGTAGTTCTAAAATAAAGTATTTGCGGTTTAATAATTAATCAAAAGGCTAAGGCATGCTTCCCCCTTCTGGATATGTCTAGTAATGACATGCTCACATTGCTCAGAGTTAGGTGTTGCTGGCCTACTGTGTTGTTTTAATTGGTAAAGTCTCACAAATGTATCACATCAAAATTATTTCTGATTTAAAATAAGTTCTAAAACACATTTTTTTGGTTGTAATTTTGCAGAAAGCCCTCTCACCCCCTCTTGGCCTCCTTCATTAGTCACATGGCTCTCAGTGGGCGTGGTCACTGGGACACATCACTGGGATCTCTGCCCAGATTACCCAATCACAGCACCTGTGAAATGGGCGAGCTCACACAGACAGGTAACCAATCACAGTGCACAGCAATAGAATATTTCTATATATACTGTATGTATATTAAAAAAATAAATATAAACAAACTTAATTACGAATTGAGTTATTTATTGTTTTATTCTAGGTGTGAAACGGTTGTTTTCATTAACTAAAACTGAAAACATAAAAAAAAATTGCTACTTGAAATAAAATACATAAATAATACTTATTTTATAACTTATTTTATTTTAAAATGTATTTTAGTTAGTTAACTTTAGTTAGTTTAAGTTGAAGAACTAAACTAACAAACTAAATCTGAAATAAAAATTAATTAAAAAGAACTATTAAAATTAAAACAAAAACTAATAAAAATGACAAAAACACTCAACAAATTTACTAAAACTTAGAATAAAAAAATATTAAAATAAAAACAAATTCAAAATATTAACTATTACAGTATATCAATGATACTAAAATAACCTTCATAAAATAACATTATTCTGCATTCTTACTAAAATGTATTTTTCTTTTTTCTCTTAATAAGGAGTCGTACAGCATTTGAAAAACGGCGATCATCTTCGCCAGGCTTACATCAAGCGTCACAATCTGCTCACTGCTGATTGGTCGCCGCAGCAGTTGTGGGTGGAGACTACAGGTAAGAGCCGCACCCTTCAGAGTGGATTGGCCTTCCTCTTCGGTTTCCTGCCACATTTTGATTGGTCACGGCTGACGGTAAAACAGCAGTGGAGTACGCTGTTCTGCGGTTCCTCGTGCGAATGCCCCGCACGCAACCGGTACCTGGACCAGGAGCAGCGCAGGCAGTATCGGCAGAGGACTGCAGACACGGAACTGGAACGCACGTATGTCGCCATGGCGAAGACGTTGGGCGTGGCCACGAAGAATCTGAGGGCGGCCAATCCTGTGGATGCGTTGTTGTGTCACTTTTGTCACGGTCTTCCTTTTCCATGCTCTAGCACTCAGATTACATCAAACGCTCCGGATGAGGGGGCGTGTCTTACACTACAGCACTTTGCTGTGATTCGACGGCAGCAGAAAAATGATGAACTGGAGCGGCGGGAGGCGGGGCTTTACCGCCGATATGCTGTGCTCGCGGCACATCCGTACCTCAACCGTACCGCAACGCGGATGGAGAGGATTGCCAGAGGAAGCCAAACGCTCAAAGGCAAGGAAGAGGCAGTCTTCGCTTTAGCATCTGCTCATGACGTAACAATGGCGCCGTTGCTAAGCGCGCTTGGTCTGGAAGGGGCGGGATTTCCAAAGTTTGCAGCACGGCTGGTGTTTGAGCTGTGGAACAGCCCGGAAGTGAAAGACAAAGACAGAAAGAGTGATAGAAAACGAGGAAAGTGGTTGGAAAATATGTTCATTCGTGTTCTCTATAACGGAGAGGACTTGACCTTTGACACAGCCTTCTGCCGTGACCACAATCGACACTCTGCTCAGCCGCTGTGCCCTCTGGGTAATTTCCTGTCTTTTGTGAGAAAGGACATGTTTAATATTGTCAATGCGACGAGTTACCTGCAGGCCTGCCACCAAATTGTACTGTAAATGTGAACATGAATGACTGACAGAGAGCAAACGTCAAGGAAGGATGAGGAACAGGTATAGTTTACCCAAATATTCTGTACAGTTCTGTCATTATTTAGTCCCTTCATGACATTCCAAACCCATATGTCTTTTCGTGGAGTGCAACTGACAAAACTGTCAATGAATGCAAGACTTGCAAGCTCAAAAAGCAAAAAGCTCCCTAAAAGTCCATACGACTTCTGCACTATATTCTAAGGGGTTTCCAGGTGCTTGTCACTTAATGCTTTCATCAAGAGCAGCAAATCTCTTCTTTTGTGTCCCGCTGAAGAAAGAAAATCTGGTTTGGAATGACATGAAGGTGAAAAAATGATGACAGAATTTGGGTGAACTGTTCCTTTAAGACTGAGTACTACTAATGTTATTGATGTAGTGTTAAGTTTGTGGACCAAATAATTGTCCCTGCACAACATTGTTTTTGGTACACTTTACTAATCTCACTGACAAAATTTGAAGTTGTTTACAGCAATCATTTTAAGCTGTGGGCTGTGACTGAATGTCTGATTGACGTTGTGACGTGATGTCAAGAACCCTTCAAGAGCACACAAACAGTCAATTGTTGAAACACCTCTTGCCTTCCTTCTGAGTCAGTGAATTAGGAATGCTGCACAGTCATTATGACAATCCCAGTGGGTTTGCTAAATATAAAAAAAATGTGTTTGAACTGTCATTTTTAGACCACATTTCTTAAACATTTGTATTAGATTTAGGGCACTTCGCCACTTTATTGCAGAGTTCCTGCAGTGATCGGGAATCTGATGTTATTTCAATTTCACATCTCTTCCATTGGATTTCCTGGATAAGTTCCTATTTGAATAGTATTAGCAAAATGTCTAGCACAATCATGTTGTCCTGACACTTTCCTCACATTTTGTGTGCTTTAAATTTCTTTTAGTGATTTCCCTTTGTTTACATATAATGTAAAGTTTAAAACAAAGGAGTGGTAGTATTTTTTTGAGTACTGTAAAACTGATTCAATCAACTTTTGTATCATGAATGGTGTTCTTGTGATCAGTCTGTACTGCCACATTCCAAACCTCAAAACACATTTTTCAATAAAAGAATCATTTTGTCTAAGAACGTCACTGGTTTGTCTGAAAATACACATCATTTTGACTTTCAGCCACTTTGTAGCCCATTCTGTCCAAGATCCACACACTTAGACAAGAACTAGTCTACTTTTTTCATGTTTCATATGATTGCCAGTAGGTGGCAGGAGAGCTTCGTCGGTGGCTCTGAGAGTAAGAATCCAATCAAGTGACCTCAGGTTGAGTCAGCATTATAGAAATAGAACAAACATCAGTTCAGTGGTCAGCATTATACATTCACTAAATGCAGAAAGCCTCTTTGGCTTTGAGTCATTATTGTTAAATATGAGATTGCAAATCATGCTGACTAGTTTTTAGCCTCGCCTGTCGAATAACTCAATCACAACAGCCAAAAATCTGTCCAGAAGTAATCTCCAGAATTTCCCCAGGAGTGTGTATTGGGATGTAAGTAAAGGAATCTGAGGCCCTCTGATCTCTACGAGATGATTTTAATTAGCCGCTGCCTTCCTCGCCAAAGAAAAGATCATTCATTTACTGACTTGGACAGAGAAATCAATCATAATTAAAGAGAGTTAGAGTGTGTGTTTCAGATGGTATTTGTGTCTGCGAGTGTTTAGAGAGAAATAAAATTAATTTAGCAAATTAAGCATGATACAGAAATGATTAGCAGCTTCAAGACTTTCTTTTGCATAATTCTACTTTTGTTAATTAAAGAGAGTTAGAGTGTGTGTTTCAGATGGTATTTGTGTGCCTGCGAGTGTTTAGAGAGAAATAAAATTAATTTAGCAAATTAAGCATGATACAGAAATGATTAGCAGCTTCAAGACTTTCTTTTGCATAATTCTACTTTTGCAATTATGCAAAACATGGCTTGCTTATTTCTATAAAAAAGCGAAGAACTGACCCATTTGGAGATCTCCAGAGAGTGATAAACGGTAATCACACCAAGTATATACAGTACCAAATATGCAAACCAAATTTCCTTACTAAACAGTGCTGGGCAATAACTGATTACATGTAATCTGGATTACGTAATCAGATTCCAAAAATTAAGTACTTGTAATTAGATTATATTACATTTTAAAATACTCGTAATCAGACTACAGTTACTTTTTTATTGATTATATGATTACGTATTACACATTATTCACACAATGTTTCAGAATTGATTGATTCTTCCTAATTGTTCTTTTTAATCATTTACATTTTCCTTTCTAAAATAGCCCGCCACTTATTCACACAAAGATCAGTCAGGTGGCTATAATTACACAGAAAATTGTAACGCCACACAGCACTGGATTTATGAACATTTGCATGTTCACTGTTTTCTGAAGTTGGTTAATGATCACATGACAAACTTACAAACCCCCTGCAATTCTTTCACGAAGCCCAGTTTGGGAAACCTAATGTAATGTAATGTAAAGTTTACTGCACTTCATGTTGTTAATAACAACAAATGTAATATATTTGCTTTCTCTTTGTATTTTTATAGCAGTATGGTACAAGATTATCCTATTTAAATCGATGTGATGAACGAGTTAGGTCAAAAGGAATCTGAAAGTAATCCAAAAGTAGTCCGATTATATTACCTAAAATGTGTAATGTAATAGATTATTGGAATTTGTGTCATGTAATTTAGAATCAGTAACAGACTACAATTTGTAAGCAATCTACCCAGCACTGATGCAAAAAGCAGTATGTTAAATGAATATGATGCCTTATTGTTATAAAAAACGATATACTAACTACAGTAAATATCAAATGTGCTCTGAATGGCCATTGTGTTGCCTTCACATTCAGTGTGGATAATTTTGGCCTAAATGTTACTGGAAACTTGTGGTTAAAACCAAGACAAACCAAATATTTAAGTTTAGGGTGGTCCAAATGTAAAAGTATATGAATGAAATGCATGAAAACCCCTTTTTAATCAACCAACAATCAAAATACAGGGATAATATATCCATTGTCAATGTCTATGCGGTTATGGCCCTTAATTGTTAAAACTGATAATCTATCAGCAAGAGAAACAATGTAAAAAAGGAGAAACAGAATAGAATCAATTAAAAATGAAACATTCAACTCTTTAGAGCAACACCATAAAGGTCTTCGTCATGTCTGCTGTTAGATTAATAAATGACTGGCCTCAGACACACATAAACATGAGTGTGTCTTCATAAAAGGTTTTCTCAGCGCTGTGAATGTGTGTGTGGTCACATCTGTGATGCTTCACTCACCGCTCTGTCATAACATTTTCTTCAACCTGATGTTTCCTCCCTCAAAAACAGATCTTACAACTTGAATACGTCTCCACACACACTTAAAAGGTGCAGAAAGCCATGGGACATTAACGCACTGCGAGTATTTCTGTGTGTGTGCGTGTGTCAGAGTGAGTGATTGAGCGAGGAAAAGAATGACGAGTGAATGCTGGTGCTGAGTGATCATGAAGTGTTTCAGAAATCCTGACCTCCACATGCCAGACGCAGTTCATCAGCCCGGGCCAATCGGGTGTGCTTTTCTCTCCAATCGGCCCTCAACACGCTGACAGAGTGACTGAACATTTTAGACCAGATGCAATGAGTAAACAAATGTGTGTGCGTGGATTTCTATAAACATGTTGTTCTTATTACAAAACACAGAAAAAGACTTTCAGTTCTACCAATTAAGATGTAACTTGTCCTGTACCATTTGTACTATGGACATGAATGATAGAAACCACAACACACTAGCAACCACCCAAAACACCCTAGCAATAATTTAGAACATTCTATTAACTGCCTAGCAACTACCTCAACACCCTAACAACTACCTAGCACTAGTTTAGAACATTCTAGTAACTAAACACTCCTGCAACATCCTAGCAATCACCAAGAACACTGTAGTTACTGACTAGAAACACCCAGCAACCATCTAGAAATGCCATAGCAACCACCCAGAATACCTTAGCAACTGCTTAGCAATTAAAACATTCTAGCAACTGCCTGAATACACTAGCCGCCTAACGATGCCCAAACAACACCACAGCAACCACCTGAACACCCTTGCAACTCCCTAACAATGTCCTAGCAACCACAAGAGAACACCTTAACAACTGCCTAGTAATAAAAACATGCTAGTAATCACCTAACAATGACCCAGCAACACCAAAGCAACCACCATAACACCATAGCAACTCCCTAGCAATGTCCTAGCAATCTCCAAGAACACTCTAGTTACTGTCCAGAAACACCCTAGCAACCATCTAGAAATGCCCTAGCAACGACCCAGAACACCTTATCAAGTGCCCAGTAATAAAAACATCCTAGCAACTGCCTGAACACCCTAGTAACATGCTAGCAACCTAACAATGCCCCACACCAAAGCAACCATCTGAACACCCTAGCAATCATCAAGAACACTAATGACTAATAACACCCTAGCAACCATCTAGAAATACCCTAACAACCACAAGAGAACACCCTAGTAACTGCCTAGCAATAAAAACATTCTAGCAACTGCCTGAGCATCTAAGCAACATGCAACCACCCAACAATGCCCAAGCAACACCCTAGACACTGCCTAGCAATAGTTAAGAACATACAGGGATGTAACGATGAATCTTGAGTCGGTTGAAAATAAAAAAAAACGTGTGGCGATTCAAGTCGGTTGAGATGTTAAAAGAATCGCGATACAGTTATAGGTGGGGGTTTATATGAATGTACTGTATCTCTGAGGGGAACTTACTGTCTTTAGAAGAGTTAAGATGGTATTTTCTTTTCATCTTGCCTCTGTATAATGAATATGAAAATAGTAGTATTTATTAGCGCAACGCTGCTTTGTTTACAGCGATAACCAAGGAAATGCTGTATTGCTGCTGTTCCATAAGAGCCACCTGCTGTCAGAGAGTGAATTTGCATTTTCATTCAGTCTGTCTGCTGTTTTTGTTTCGTTCAGATATGTTTTGTTTATATGAAGACATTTCTTTTACTTGTATAATTTTTTTATTTGATTTGGGATTTGCTTTAAATTTCAGTTTAGTTTTGTTTTTAGACATATTTCAATTTCACAAAGAAAGGTGCAGCATTTTGTCTGAGAAATAATAAAAGATGCCTTTATAATTTGTCGTAATTCTCATTTTGTAAAAAAAAAAATTGGGAGAAAATCATTTAGAGAAATCAGTATTGTGAATCGTATCGCATCATGACTTGTTAAATCCCTAAAGAACATAACAGCAGCAACATAGCAACCTCCTGACAATGCCCTAACAACACCACATCAACCATCTGAACACCCTAGCAACTACCTAGCAATGACCAAGAACAGCCTAGCAATCACTGCAACTTTATAGAAGTGAGTTTTGCATAAGCAAACACTGTACAGATTTTCTTCATTAAATATAGGCCTAGTTCTCTTTTTGTTCTCCTCTCCATGCATACGAGCATGCCAAAGCTTTCTGTTCGTCTGCATGACTGCGTTGGATGGCAGAGAGTAAAAGAGACTCGATTCATGCTGTTCTCACAGGTATGACATGGTTGAGCCCAAACACCCCCATGACAGTCTCTGTGGTGTCTTCCATCTCCACCTGTTCCTCAACAGCACACTGAGCTGCGGGTCCTACCAGCTCACCTCCCGCAGGGAAACACACACACATACATAAAGAAGAGTTGCTTTGTATTTCTCCTTATGCATCTACTTCCTTTCGTGTCTTAATGACATCTGCATTATTTGTTTAGATTAATAATGTTTAGATGTTCATTCTAAAACTCTTACCTAAAGTTTTAAACTTTGCTGTAAAATCCAACTCATGTCATTCACACCACACAAAAACAATACCACAAATCATGTCCTGTTAAAGAGAGGTGTGCTATTAGGTTGGTTGGTTTTTAAAAGTAAAATTTTTGTCAGGTAGAACTTATGCTACATATTTACAGACAAGAATACAATAGAGACTTAAGACAATAATAATGCACTAAATACACTCAGAATAGCTTAGAAAGTATAAGTTCCACT